ACCATCAGACCATCAGCAGCATTATCTTGGCTCAAAGTAAAGTACACTACACGTGAAAAGGGAAAGTTGAAACAGAGTACTATCCTCGTTCCATTATCTTGGCAACTGTCAAAGGTGTACTTCAACGTCGGGAAATAAAATTGTCCGTCCCATCAATAAACGGAAACGTTACTGGGAAGATCTATTAGGGGGCGGGGAGCGGCTTCCTTCCAACCCAGACGTAAAATCGCTCAATGCGCTTTTGCTGCACCAAGGAATACCTAAGACTTTTTATTTAATACATTCATTAAACAGTTTCCCAAATTGCTGCGATTTCCGCTAAGAAACTTCAACGTCTGCCAGCAGCCGAGAGTCAAGGGGGAGAACCTGCTGCAAACTAGGAGCCCCAACGCGCCCGGCCGGCCCAGCGCGCCCGCGTCCCGGCGGAGCCGCTGAGGTGTTAACGGGGCCGCGTCTCCCGATTCAGGTGCCGCGCCGGTTCCTCCGAGACGCATTCGCAGCCGCGGCGCGGGAAGCTTCGAGTCCCACACACGCCCTCACCCCCTTACCTGTCATCGTAGCAGAAATCCGCACTCAGGGTGTTGAGATACAAGGCGAGCCCCAGAGCGCCGCTCACCAACTCTGCAATCATCTCTCCACCGCCTTCTCTCCGGCTCGGCTCCCAGCGCGAGGGCGGCAGCGGCAACAAAAAACAGAAGCATCAATCCCCACCTTCCGCCGCCTTCTCCTCCCAGCTTCACTTTTCCCTCGCTTCCCCGCCCTCCCTCCTCTTTCTCCCTTCCTCCCCGGGGTCCTCCCAATCCGCGGGTCTCTTCCTCCTCCTCGGCCCGTCTCCGCGGCTCCTCGGTCCTCCCCGGATGCGGGCTCACACCGCGCTCCCCATGCCCGGCGCCGGTGAGCGGCGAGCGGCGAGCGGCGTTCGGGCAACGCGCCCTCCGGCGGATGCACGGGGCCGGTCTTTCCCGCGGCTCGAGGTCCCCACCCTAACCCATGGCAATTCGGGGCGCCCTAGGTGAGGAGTGGGGGACGCGGAGGAGGTGGAAGAGTGCGGGATGGGGGCAGAGGGACCGGACCGAGCCGGGCTCGGAGACCAGCTGGAGGAAGAGAGA